AATAACTCCATATCGAATCTAGCTTTTATTTCGAATATTAGTGCAAATAAAGACGCTCCGCTATCCAACTGACCTAGACGGCACAACTCTACACGCCAGTCTGCCGACTGGAAGGGGATCTAGTAAACATTATGCTGCGACGACAACTTACTGTTTTCGCAGCATTGATATTCTTCACAGTGTGCATATACTCTGCATTGCGAATATCACATCAAGAAACGAAATTATCGGTTGAGCAGACGGGTCATCCTGGATCAGAGCAGTCGCCGTTGAAGCCATCATTACATGTGGTACACAAGTTAGAATCGACCTTGACGTTAGCATACGAGCCAACGACAATAAATGATGCACGTCCCACGTCAACACAGGCAGAGGAGCTGCAAGAGGATTGGGGCGACGCGGCTACAAGACAAGGGGCCCCCAGGGCTAAGGATGTCTTGAGCTCGGAAAGACACCCCATTCAACATCTCATGACGGACGCAAGACGAGAGCTAGATGAAACGACAAAACGACAATCCAAGGATCTTGAAAGCGCAGTGAAAGAGTACCGTCGGCGATATGAAATACCGCCGCCTCCCCATTTCGACAAATGGTTCGAGTTCGCGAGATCCAACAACGTCCAGCTCATCGACGAATTTGACACGATACACAATCTCATCACACCATTCTGGGGACTAAAACCGAAAACTATTCGAGCCAGAGCCAAAGAGGCACTAGGAAATGACAACGCACTCATCGGCGTTGCCATACGCAACCACCGGATTTCACACATGGAAGGCGGCATGGAATGGCAGCGCAATGCTACGCAAGGCATGCTAGACGGCTTCCTGCAGTACTTGCCCGACATGGACCTCGCATTCAATATCCACGATGAGCCAAGAGTCATCGTCCCCCACGACGATCTAACGAGGCTAGTGAAAAAGGCCAAGACGGAGAATATGCCCGCGTCAAACTCGGTCAAGGGGCCCACGAATGATTTTTCCAAGACGTCCGCTGAGCTGAGCCACAAGATGATATTCGAACAAGTCAAGCACTCGAGGTTCAATTCGTTCAGCCGACAAGCAACGTGGACTCATTCGAGAATGTCATGCCCCCCCGAGAGCCCTGCCAGAATTCTAGAGGAAGATGAGCGATGGGATGACCTAGGCCAATACGGTGTCAGCGAACTTGGCTTCGTGTACAACTCCACTGCCATGGCGGACATTTGTTTGAGCCCCTCGCTCAGCTCGACGTATGGCTTCTTCGACAGGCCAAACACGTATAAAGTAGTGCATGACCTGTTTCCCATCTTCTCGCAGTCCAAGATCTCTTCGTACAATGACATCATTTACCCTTCGCCGTGGTACTGGTACGACAAGGTCAAGTACAAGCAAGAAGAGGATATGCCCTGGGACGAAAAGCACAGCAAGTTATACTGGCGGGGTTCCACGACGGGCGGTTTTAGTCGCGACGGCGGTTGGAGGAGACAGCACGGAGGAGACAGCACCGCCAACACTTTGTCAAGAAGATTAATGCCGGAGGACAGGCAAAGATTGTCAATAACCAGGGGAGTCAGAGTAGACCAAAGTGGGCGGTAACCGAGGTCACTCGCGCCGATTACAGCACTCTCACGGACGTTTCATTCTCTCATGTTGGTCAGTGCGATGAGGGAGACTGCAAGGCACAACAGGCCTTTTTCAACGTTTCGTCTCGCGTGAATCAAACCGATGCCTGGGGATACAAGTACCTCCTGGATATGGACGGAAATGCCTTCTCAGGCAGGTTTTTAGCATTTTTACAAAGCATGAGCCTGACATTCAAGTTTGCCTTGTTTCGGGAATGGCACAACGAATGGCTTAAGCCGTGGGTTCATTATGTGCCGCTTAGTTTGCAAGGTGATGACTGGCTCGAGACGGTGCGCTTCTTTGATGAGAGCAGTTTGGGCGCGGAGGACGGGAAGAACATGGCGGTGGAGAGCCGAGAGTGGGCAGCAAAGACGATGAGGAAGGAGGACATGGAGGTTTGGTTTTTCAGGTTACTACTTGAGTGAGTTTTTTTTTTTTTTTTCTTTTTTTGCTGCGCCTGTCTTGATATGATGGTTGGGCTGATGAATTATAGGTATGCGCGCGTGATTGATGATCAAAGGGCCATTATTGGTTTCGATATGTCCAGTTCGGGGAAAAAATTATAGGATTTGTATGTGTTGGTTGGATCATGACTTATTATTAGAGGCATTTTGCATGGTATGGCGTCGGCGTTGGAGAATTGAATAATTACATGTTCATGAGCGATGGCATGGCATTGGACATGGGTTTGAATGCACTTTAGATAAAGTTTCTTATTGGGTTGATTTTTTTTTTTTTTTTCTTTTTTTGCTGCGCCTGTCTTGATATGATGGTTGGGCTGATGAATTATAGGTATGCGCGCGTGATTGATGATCAAAGGGCCATTATTGGTTTCGATATGTCCAGTTCGGGGAAAAAATTATAGGATTTGTATGTGTTGGTTGGATCATGACTTATTATTAGAGGCATTTTGCATGGTATGGCGTCGGCGTTGGAGAATTGAATAATTACATGTTCATGAGCGATGGCATGGCATTGGACATGGGTTTGAATGCACTTTAGATAAAACCTGGATACTTGGGGACATTTTTGTTTGAACTCGGCTTTAAGAAACCCAATCCATAATCATGTATATACCTGCGCCTACCGGTGACGATGATTACCATCCAATATTTCGCTATAGTCTGCAAGACCACTTTTGCGTATCAGCTTGCTTACAAATCCTCGTCTGCTTTGAACCGCCTTAGTCCTCATCCTCATCGGCCTCCGCGTCTCTTTCCCCGGAAGGCGAGCGCCTCTCGGGCCCTTCGCTACCATTTGCCTCTGCGTCCTCACCGTCCGCCTCAGCCGCCTCTTGGTCCTGCGCGGGCTCCTCCTCTGCTTCCTGCTCCCAACCAAGAGGGTGATCCTTGTACTTCCTCATGGCGTCGAGCATTTCCTCGGTTGGGTCCTCGACGGTGATGTCCAGCTGATCGACGATTTGCTCCTCCTCTTGAGAAATACCAATCGTGCGGGCGATATTCTTGGTTCGCTGGGGTCGGATGGTTGACTTTTGCATGACAGGGTAGTAGTACATTGCTTTCTGTTTCGGATAGGCGTCCTCGTCGTTGTATGCCAGGATCACCTCGTCCTCGTACTTGGTGGGGTGGTCGAGCTCGGTCTCGTGAGAGGTCTCGTATGCTCGGACCCTGTTGAACTGGAAATAGCCACCGCTCTCGCCCTGGTGCGTGTACAGCTCTTCGCCGTCATGGTCGGGGTCGTCGACATCGAACTTGCGGCGGAAGTTTTCCGCTACAGAGCTGCTCTGCCCGAGGTAGAAGTCGTAGTTCATCAAGTTTTGAGGCTTGGGGTTGTTTTCGGGATCCTGCTCGTGCGCCTCGAGGGCGGCCTCGTAAGCCGCGTCCTCGGCCGCGGTGCGCTCTATCGGCCGCAACAGACCGCTTAGAAGACGCGTGTCGTACTTGTTCGACTTGCCGACCGGATTGGTCTGGAACTTGACCGTGACGTAGGCGCCGGAATCCGGGAAGGCGTGCAGGTCTGGTAGGAGGGGGATGGCCTGGACGACCTTGAGGTGCTTCTTTGTAGGGTGCTTGACTCGCTTGGGATCTTTGAGGTCCTGCTGGGCAACGTCGAAGCCATGATCGACCTTGCGTTTGATGACTTGGGGCGAGTCGGCGGCAGCTTCGGGGGCCTGTCGTTGAGGCTTCCGGGCCTTGGCGAGCAGGGCTCGCGGATTGCCTCCCTCGTGCCTCTTTGGCGTCGATGACGAGATGTATTCTGTTCGTCGGAGGAAGGATACGTTTGCTTCGGCCACCTTGGGCTTGCCGAGGGCCGCGATAGGTCTCAAGAGCGCCCTGTCGTGAGGATGGACGGCGGGAGCTTGTGCGGGAGCTTGGATAGCTGTTACATGCGTTTAGTCGACTTGCGCGGGCATGAAAACAATTGAATGATGGACAAATCCGTGCCGTTCGGGCAAACTCACATCGTTCATCGCCGTCAAACACGCCAGGCATGCCCACCAAGTCCAAGGGCATGCCTAGTTCGGCATCGGCCTCGATATTCAGCGGCTGCTCTCTCGCTAGACGCGAAGCGAATCCAGGAGTCGTATACTGTCCACTCGCCAGGCCCATATTAGGGATGTCCAGCAGCTTAGGCGGATTGGGTGGCGGAGGTAGGGCATTGGAGAAGCGAATTCGCGCGATGAAGTCTTGATGCACCATGCGCTCACCAGAGCGCGCCCCCGAGGACGACATTGTGCTGTCGACGCAAGGCAGTCGGCCCCGAAATGTGCAAAAATGCAAGGGTGCTCACGCAATTTCGTGTGTTTCGGTTCTCGCGAGGTTGAAGATAGAGTCGCGGATGGACCGTCGCCAACGGTGAGATGTAAGTTGCGAAGTTGCGACTTGGCCAAGGCTGAGAAAAAGGTCCAGCGGGAGGGCAAGGCTGCGGAGCGACGATACAAACCTGGCGCCGCAGCTCCCCGCCGCCCGCACCTTCCGTTGTCTGAAATTGTCTGCAACGACGGCGGCAACATTTCAACAACCAAAAAAAAAAGGGTGCTCAAATATTTCCCAATGTCACTATGATTCAATTCTTGACTCCGTCTCTCATTACTGGGCTATTCCCAAGAACCGGGCCCGCATTCGGCTCTCGCTCCGTTATGGCACCGCCTTTTCCTACAGCCCGCCCACCATTTGTCTAATGCCGATCTATTATGCCCCTGCTAACTGCTACGCATAGAATGCCTATCCCTCTGGTGTTACAAGCCGATCCCAATTTCAAGCCCGCGCAGCATCTCCCCATAGCATTAACTACCAGCTCTCAAAAAGCGAGCATGTGTTTGTACAATAGACACCGAAAAGAAAACAAGGGTCATTGGCGTTTTGTGACAATTCATGTCGGAACGTGGGCAGAGGGGATGCTGTCCCCTGCATGTTCTCAAGCGCACAGAGACGGCTAGGAGTTATCTTTGCGGTAGTTCTTCTTGCCCATGGTGAAAGGAACATAGCGATACTTGATCATATGCTGAATTTGCTTGCGCACTGAGAAAGAGACGTGGTCAGACACGGTGTTTACCAACGTCCAACGTACAAGATGGGGACTTACTCGTCAGGACAAAGAGAATAATCCAATACATGACCAAGACGGGCCAGAAGACGGGAATGTTGAAGAACTCGAAGAAGGTGCAGAAGAAGGAGATGGCGATGGCACGGGTCGCCCAGTACCAAAACTTGAACTCGGGGAGACGCCGAATGAAGGGCTTGAACTCGTCATCCTGCTTGGTCGGGAGGGTTCCTACGGCACCATCTTCCATGTCCTGGTCGACCGCATCGTTGGAAGGGTCAAATTTGGGCTGGAGGAAAGCCAAAAACAGGTTGAGCAGATAAATGCCGAGCGCATAGGCAACTGTGGGAGGAGTCAGTGGACCGTGGAATGGAGAGCCGTCAAATGTTGAGCCTGGGACCCTCAACATACCAATGTACCATCCCTGGATGACGAAAATGCGCACGAAGAAGAGTAGCAGGGTAGCGCCGGTTGCAACCCATCTGTAGAGCACAAAGGGCGTAGACTGGTCGAGCAGAGCTTGGTAATGCTACTTCTGAATTAGCACCAACTATTCCTTTGTTGAATGGCAATGTTCCCGTCTCGTATGCGACTGGCGTTTCGGCGTACCCTTTGCAGTTTGGTCGTGTGGGCTGTGACAGCGGCGAAAGGGGTCTGTTCAGGCTCTGGCGCATCCATGCTGAGGACTTTCGTTTCTCGTCGAGACGAGACGAGTTCGATAAGGGATGATTGAAAAGAGAGAAGCCGTGGGGTTACAAAGTGGACATGAATCTCGGCAGGAGACCTAAGCGACGCTATCGCAAGGCCTAGCGGTCGTGAGCGGATGGGGTTGATGAAGACGGACGAAGATGCAAGAAGAGAGTATTCTGGTTGGGGAAAAGGGACACTTTGACGGCCATCGCGAAGTTCAACGTTGGCATCTTTGCTGTGGCGCGTGGGGCTTTTTTTTCTGGTTGTCAGCAAAAAGCTGGACACTGGCTGGACTCGGACTGGGACTGCAGTACGGAGTCCGTACGTACTCGGTCTGCTCACTCACAGCCACACAATAATTGCCTCCTGCCAGATGTCGCCGCTGACCAATCATGTAGTCGACTTTTTCATCTGTGGAGCCGCCGTGCATGTTGCTCCCTCCCTGTTCCCTGAAATTCCCAGCCTGGTGAGGGAACTCAATGTTCTTGGTCCTCACTGCCAAGTTGACTGTTCAGGACAGGGCAGTGCATGCAGGGGTGGACTTGGGTGCTAGTTACTAAATGCTGAAACATCCAAATAAGGGTCCAGATGTCTGGTGGCAGTGGTCAAGCAGCACCAGCACCAGACACTCAAAGAACAGTCAGTCCATCAACCAGCACCTGAGGTCTCTCTCGAGCATTCAAATGTTGCTCTCAGTCGACTTACAGTTTGGCTGTCTTGCGGCCAAAAGCCAGGTAGTCAATCATATATCTGGCAGCTTTCCCTAGTTCCGCCTGCGTCTACTTCGTATGTACTACGTAATACATCACCGGCCAATCATTCTCAACTCCAGATATCTCGCCGGCAAATATCCCAACGCCGTCACCACAAACGTCAATTCGTTTGCAACATCGCCACCATTATCGCCAACTGCCTTGGCCAATGGCGCGACGAACCATGTCTGATTCATGCCCATACACCACGACACCACGCCGAGCCCAAACGCAATAGCCGCGCCGATTCCCAACGGCAATCTCGCAGGATCGTTCCATCCCTCAAGATCGTAATTCTCAAACTTCCCTTTGCGGAAGATGTAGTGCTCCTCCAACAATATAATGGCATAACTTGTGCACCAATACCCAAGGAGACTTAGAAAGTTTTGGAGGTACGTGTTGAGCTGTTCTCGCCCACCTACTGCTAGCGCAAGAATGCACGCAAACGAAACCAGCGTCCAGACGAACCGGGAAATCAAAGCCAGCGGTCGTGCCAGCTGCTGAAACGACAGGGACGCGCTATAGATACTAATAACGTTGGTATTGATGCCCGATAACACCAGCAAAGTGAGAAGAAACTTGGCAAACCCTCGTGGGTAGAGCACATCTTGAATCAGATAGCCCAGCCCGTCACGCTCGTACGTGTCTCGCCATTCGGGCTGGTTGTTCAGAGAAGAGGCAACCACGCAACCTGCCAGCATGCCAATGGATGTCGGGATCGCAATTCCAAAGCTTGTCATGAGGAAAACCTTGGTACGGCTGACGTCGGCGCGATAGTGGACGTAGTAGTCGCTGGCTGTCGTGCACCAGGCAGCGCTGGAACCATACACGATGGCAATCAAGCTGAGAGCCGCACCGCTTAATGTGGCGCCAGTGCTGGAGGCGGGAGTCGAGTTGTCGGCATACTTTCCGGTTTCGCCAAAGATGATGAGAAAGATGACGAAGAAAACAGCCCACGCGTACCGCTCGTAGACCAAGATGGCATTGAGCCCAACGAATGAGATGAGCAGCGCCACCACGGCCAGGATGATGATGCCCAGGATTAGGGAAACATGGCCGTCCGAAACCGCTGTCAACGCAAGGCCGCCTGTGATGCAAGAAACGGCCGCCCAGCCCATCTGCTGGATGCAGTTTAGAATAGCAATGAGCTTATTCGGCCACCATCCAAAGCTATACCTGCTGACACTCATCTGTCGCAATCCCGTGGCGGCACCGAATGTCGCACAGTAGCCAGTTACGATTCCGCCGAGAATGGAGGCGAATAAAGTGATGAGAATAGCCTGCTTTAGACTCAGTCCGAATTGCCACCCTAGAAAGCCAGTTGCGAAACAAGACGTGTTCATCGTTCCGCTAGCCCATAACAGAGCCATGGTGAGCTCTTCGGTCCAAGGCACATCTTTCTTGTCTTCCGCGCGTTTCCGAACAATGGCTTCAGATTCGATTCCGAGCTTAGCATCCATACTGGCTTCAAGATTGCGCAGTTGGGCAAGTACTCCGCCCTGTTTTGGGCCAGCGGCACCCTGATCTGGTTTGTCACTCGAGTCCATGTCCAAGGCATCCTTCTCGCCGGGTGTCTTGTGAACGATTCCCTGACCTTTCTCTTCGTCAATTGACATCGTGGATATCTATCTGGTCGTTTCGAAGGAAAGGGTGAAACTTCCCACCCGGCGAGGTTTTTATTTTCCGATTCATTCGAGTGAAAGTTGAAATTAATAGTTAAAAACCAAAACGGGAAATGGTGAGTTTCTCATGTGGTGCCGGTTGTACGACTTGACCCAATCGCATTGCTCACGAGTTTGTTGTGCTGGGATCCAGGACCTCTCGCGATCCAAATTAACTCCCCAAAGAGTTTCATAACTCATCGTCATCTTCTTGATCCATCACGTACATTTTGTCCTACAATACTCCGTAGTATATAACAATAAATTAAACGTTTTAGTAACAATTGCGCCACTAAAGTGAGACGCCCTGTACACCCGCTTCCAATGTGCCTTTACCGCCTACCATTTCTAGCCCATTATATATCCACCGCCTTCCCAAAGAAGCTATCTCATAGAACTGCCTAGCAGAGACTGTCAGTGAAAATCACCAACCACTTTAAAGGCATCATAACGCATTCTCATAAGGTGTCGCGCCAAAATTATATTTCAAAGCGCGACAGGAGTTGTTACAATGACGGACAAGGATAAGGAGCATTTTAACGCGCGCGCGGGATCATCCTATGCGGCGTCAATTGGCATCAGCCACCGAACCACCCCATTGAAATGTTCATGGACTGGCGACATGAGAGTCAGGTACGCCGTTTCCATTCTCACAATTCTTTTGTGCTTCGTCTTGTCATGCGCTAATACACAAGGCCAGATTCTCAGACTTCCAAGTAAATGAGATCAGCAAAGATGGAACGGTTCTGCATTTGCGGACGATAGGGCTTGGAAACGAGACAACGGTAAAGCTGGAAACCCCTTCATCATGCATGTTGCAAAAGACACTAACTGGCTTCAGCAGCCGGAGCAGTCTCAAAACAGCGAGTCAAACACCAAAAGTGTAGACTCACACACACCACAAGATGAAAAACCTCAGCCGGAGCAAACCATTGAGATCCCCCAGGAAGACGTCAAAGTCCTCGAAGACCTCTCCACAACCCAGTTCGCCCAGGACCTGGTCAAGCTCTTCAACCACGGCAACGGCCCTTCATCCAACGATGCCAACACAGCCACCTCGCCTGTTATCGACGACAAGCCCAAACGTGCTCAGATCCACCAAGAAGTCCGGCGCATCTTCAAGTCCCGTCTCGAAACCACCACCGGCCACGATGGAGTCATCATCGCCAACTACGTCTCCCCCCGCAAGGGGAAGAAAAGCAGAGGCCGTCGTGGTCAGCCAGGCGACGACGAGCCAATGGGGGAGTATCTCCATTTCACGCTATACAAGGACAACCGGGACACCATGGATGCCGCGAGCCAAATCGCCCGTCTGCTCAGAGTGAAGCCCCAAATCATCGGGTACGCGGGGACCAAGGACCGCCGCGCATCGACCACGCAGCGCTGCTCAGTGCGACACCAGCGCAAGCGAGCGCTGGCAGGGCTCAACGGCAAGCTCTGGGGCATAGCGACCGGCGACTACGAGTACCAGGAACAGCCCATCCACCTGGGCCAACTCCTCGGCAACGAATTCGTAATCACCCTCAAGAACTGCAAAATGGCGGACGAAACCGCCGCACAGTCGCCCTCCGAGCGCCTCGCCTCCATGAGGAACAATGTCGAGCCGGCGCTCAAACACATGTCCTCCCACGGATGGATCAACTACTTTGGCCACCAGCGCTTCGGCACCCACGACGTAGGCACGCACCAAGTCGGCAAGCTCATCCTCGGAGACGACTTCGAGGGCGCCGTCAACGCCCTGCTCAAGTACGACCCCGAAATCGCAGCCAAAGCCGAAGCTGGCCAGGTCCCCGACGAGCCGTCCAAGAAGGACGACGCTCTCCGCCACCTCGCGTGCATGCTCTTCCAGACAGGCAAGGACCTGAACCGAGCCGTCAACGTCATCCCGCGGCGGTTTGCGGCAGAATCATGCATCCTCCGCCACCTCACCCGCATGGGGAAGAACTCGGCGCGGGACTTTGCAGGCGCCATCACCCACATCACGCGTGGGCTGCGGTCAATGTACCTCCACGCCTATCAGTCACATGTGTGGAACCACGCCGCCAGCCAGCGGTACGCCCTGCACGGCAGCAAGGTCACAAAGGGCGACCTGGTCATCTCCGACGGCGAGGCCCAACCTGCCGCTGCGGAGCAGGACCAGGACGGCGACGAAATCATCAACCCCGTCGAGGACGAGGAAGATGCGCCCCTGCGTGCTCGCCCCCTGACCGAGGAAGAAGCCGCCAGTGGCAAGTACACCATTTACGACATTGTTCTCCCCTCGCCGGGCTACGATGTGGTCTATCCGGATAATGAAATTGGCCAATTTTACCAAGAGTTCATGGGCCGAGAAGAGAATGGTAGGCTTGACCCGCACAAGATGCGTCGCTTGAGAAGAGAGTTTAGCCTCCCAGGACGGTATAGGAAGCTGATGCAGAGGTTTTTGGTTGAACCTAGTGTGGAGTTCAAGTTGTATGAGCATGATACGGAGCAGATGCACCCTACAGACTTGGATTTGATCAACGGTGCCGAGAGGAACGGGATTGAAAGGAAGAGGAAGAGGGATCAAGATGACGGTGGCCCTGCCAAGAAGATCAAGGCTGGTGATGGCGAGGCTCAGGCTGAAGCAAAGATGGAGAGGGCGAACAGCGAGCAGGACGCTACGAGTAGCAACGGTGCTGAGGCAAAAGCCGAGACAGAACCGTCCGCCGAACCTACCAAGATAGCTGTTGTCGTCAAGTTCCAGCTGGCAAGCAGTGCCTACGCAACAATCACGCTCAGAGAACTAATGGGTGATCGGTCGGATGAGGCTACACCTACACCATCAGACGAGGGAGTGGACAACTCATGAGTTTGGATCTGGTTTAATGACATTGAAAGAGTTAAAAGAATAGAAAATAGAATTTGAAACTAATACCCGCCTGCCCGCAGCATTGATGCCCACAATGTCCACAACCACATAGGGAAAAAGAAAATTCCAAAAAAAAAAAAATGAACAGTCCGTCTTCATTCTCTCCAGAAATAATACCCAAAGGGAACCTCGTCCCACATGCAGTAGGAGGTATGCTTTCCTCGAGAGGTGTTCTTGCCGCTTGTGCAGGCGTTTCATATGAATGCGATGGTCTTCTGGTCTGTGCAGACTTTGGTAGCAATAAAAATGCAAAAGTTTGCGGTGCCGATGCTCATGTGTCCGATTCCGCATTCAGTGCGATTCAAAATTCCAAGTGTTGATTAGGCCGTTAGAATAAACTCCTATAATATATGGTAGGATCAAGAAGCGAGCGGCCGTCATGTTCTCATCAGAGCTGAACTGATGCAAATCCCCTTTTTCACGAATTGTATATAAATGGTACATGATATTTATGAAGCTGGCTGTTGCTTTTCCCATTTCCATACAGAAGATAGATATTTAACCATGTTAACTCGCTTGGGGCGCATGTCAAGCATCCAAGGGTGCTCAAGCATCTTCCATGGGCTAGCGCGGCGATCGGGTCGCTTCTCTAGGCTGTGAAAATGTTAACAGGTGCAAAAAGATTTGAAGAAAAAAAAAGAGAAAGAAGAGAGGCAGGGGAGGGGTTGTTAGGTACACACCAGCACTCGATAAAATATTTGAAGTTGTCGCTCCAGTACACGTTCACATCAGGCTCATCCTTTAGCGTCGGCACCGGCTGCCGAACAATGTAAGTCAGCAAGTCGATCAAACCTGCTCTTGGCTGCATCTCGGTTCCATCGGCAGGGAATGGGAAGCGATTTTGAGCAACTTCCAGTAATGTTACACCCGTGGACCATACGTCAGATGTAATTGTGTATGATTGGCCAGTGATTCGTTCGGGTGCCATGTAATAACTGGTGCCGATGAATGTGTTGGCCTCTCCCTTAGTTCCAAAGTCGCCCGAAACCCCAAAGTCACACAGCTTCACGGCTCCATCTCGACACAGGAGGATATTTGATGGTTTAATATCTCGGTGGATGATCCGTCGAGTGTGCAGGTAAGTGAGTCCGCGCAATACGCCCTCGGCAATCTTTCCCAGAACCTTCTCTCCTGTTCGACCATCTTGTAGCTTGACCTCTTTATAGATGCTGTCCAGTGACCCGCCTTCACAGAACTCCATAGCAATAGAGATGGTGGCGGTGGATGGGTCGACAAAAGCACCGTAGTATCGACAGATGTGCTCTGACGCGCATTCTTTGTTGAAGCCCAGCTCTCGTACAATCTGTTTCTTAACATCAGGGTCTGGATTGGTAGTAATGATCTATAGCCCACATGTTAGTCCACGTTGGAGTTAATGCAACTACGAGTAAATGGCTTACTTTCAGCGCAAACACAGTCTTGCGTTCTTTCAGTCTACACCTGGTAACAGCACCCCCGGCACCTTCACCCAGATGACCGAGCTCTTCAATCAAATTATTCATGCTTGCAATTCTCCAACCTTCATCATCAAGATCCTCAACATCAGCTTCTTTGAGCTTCTCCAGGGTCCAGCCTGCAAAGGTACCGGAGTCTTGATGACTGCCGTCTCTTTCTATGGACACGCCGCCTTCGCTCCTTTCGGAATACATGGATCCCACAGCTGATACCGGATCTGGAGTCCCTTGAGCTCTTGTTACCGGAACAATATACTGTGAGGCAAACGAAAGGGCAGAAAACTGAGATCCTGCCGAGGTAGGGTTGCTTGCCCTGCCATCCAAAGGCCCAAAACTACCAGACCTCGAGTGAGCTGCGCTGCTTTCGCTGCCGCCGTCGGCAGACTGGCCGGGTTGGATTCCTTGTGATCCGGGTGGCTGCTCATACGGCGTAGCTCGCGTGCCCATAGGAGTGGCCAGATGTAAAGTTGGGAGCGGCGGCCTTGACGGGGTAGACTGAACTTGTTGTTGGTTGCCGACCGGTTTCACATTTGGAGATGCAGGAATAGAAATACCAAGCCTCGGCGGACGGCCACCGGAGCGGCCACCGGGAATGGCCGGTCTGAGGATTGGAGCGGGAGATGATAGTTGAGGAACGACATTGGAAGGGGCAGAGGTTGGCGGTGCTGCGGCAAAGATTGGCTGTTTAGGAGAAAGATTCCAGTCAGTTCGCTGTATGGCGAGAAAGAGTCTCGTCCACAAATGCGGCACTCACCAATTGTGCTGCTGGGTCGGTACCCTGTGAGTGCGAGCTTGATGTGTCCGCCATGACAACGATGCCCATAAGCCAGGGCCAAGGCGGCTACTAGAGAGCTGCAAACGAGGGGACGGCACCTCAGATGCTTCATACGGCGAAGAATCGCCGTGATGGTGGCTGTGGTCGCGGCCAACAGGTAGAGATGTAGCTGGATAAAGTGTCAAGATACTTGAGGGGGGCCAAGGAGAAATTAAAACCATGCAGAATGAGAGGTGTTGGTGGGAGCAAAACAGCTCTCTTGGGGGAGGTATTGAAGAATGTCGAGAGATTGTATCGTCTCGACTCGGTCGAAGGCAGTTGAGGTCAGTCGTTTTTTTGAGGCCCAAAAAGGTCTGCCGGAGCACACGCAAGCTGGTGTCGGATGATGCTCTGTGGACACCGACGATGAGGGGGATGCTGCAGTGGGGACGGGGCGGCTCGACTAAATAAGTCAGGTCAAAAAGGTTTGGTGGGATTCAGATGGTCCAACACGTATTGACCAGCGCCTCCAATGTTCTTGTATTTTTTTCTTCTTAATATTTCGGTGGACTCGGGTGTAGGTGAGTGAGAGGCGACACTATATGAAGGCTCCAGCACTTGGTAGCTTGGCACGAGCAACAGACGTCACGGAGCGGGAAAGGGGGAAGGTGAGTTGAATGCAAAACGATTTGGAAAAGGATGTGAGATGCAGGTGGGAACACAGAGGCCACAGAGGCCACCAGACAGAAGGACTTGAGCAGCGGGCTGGGCGACATTTGATGGACAGACATCGATCGACCCTAGGACTTGGTGAGGTACTTGGGCAAAGTACACTTGACATGGACGCAGGTGCTTGCGCTCCCGCCTCCTGTGTTGCCGTGGTTGTAACCCGTACCCTCATGTGGAGGTACATACTTGAGTCCTTGGCCATGGCCCATGGCAGACGGTTGTTACGCCGACCTGCAACATTCGAACTCTTCAAGGCCAGCTCTTGATCTGTGCGCCCAGCGCTCGAGGTAATACTGTGGCTCCGCACTGGGCAATTGCTCCAAACGATGGTACTTGAGTTTGAGTCCATGTCGCTCAATGGCTGGCACTGGGCGCTAATCTGCGACCTGCATCGCCCCGAGCACCAGTTGACCAGCTGCGCCAATTCGATGCTGCTTGTCTGCTCGGTGCTCCCGGTGCCGTATTTGGCGTGCCATTGATCTGACAGACACCGGAGACCCAAACATTGAAGGCCCCAGTGCGCTGGCATCGCCCGAAGCCAGCGTGAAACACTCAAGCCACCGGCTGGAGCTTCAGTGGCTCCTGCATGTGTGCATAATTTCTCGGGTCCAAGTGGCCGCATGGCGGAGAAGCCAACATTGAAGCTCAGCACTTGTCCAGTCCGTATGTACTTTCCCACGCTGCGTTTGGTGCTTCGATATTATTGTCCTCCTTCAATGTTGTTTACTCCGTACTTTTCAAGTCAAGCACGCACCTTGGACTACAACAATATGCTATTACGTACATGGCAACATCGAGGTCCTTTGCTTCCGAGTGAATGAATGCTAGCGGTGCGTGCTCGGTGTTTTCTTTCCTGCCACCCGTCAACCGGTGTGCCTGCGTCCTGTACTCCTCGCGTATACAGAGCCTCCGATGTCGTTCCCTTCCGCAGCTCTGTTGTCAAAGCTGGGGCGGCCCGGACC